TACTCTATCTACCGCATACAAGTGGAACCAAGCAGTGTTTGTCTTTTTCTATCTGGCTTATTTCTCTTAGCATAGTGTCTTCAAGGCCCATCCGTGCCATAGCCTGTGTCAGAATTTCCTTACTTTTTAAGGTTAATAGTATTCCATTGTATGTATAAACCACATTTTGTGTATCCACTCATCCACCAATGGACACTTGGATTGCTTCCACCCTTTGGCTATATCATGCATTCTTGTTGAGTTCTTTGGAGAGAAAGAGCAAATGTGTGTAAACTGCCTTGTGATAATCCTTAATTAGCTAGTGAAATTTCATCTTATCCTTGTCTTCTTCAGGTCAAAACAAATACACTTCTCTATTTTTTCCTTATAATTTTGGTTTGTACCCATTTCTTGATCCCTATACCTACTATAAATGACTCCAAATCCTGTTCACTATTTTTTTTTTTTTTTAGGTTTTGCATGCTCGTTTATTTATTTATTTATTTTTATTTTTATTTTTTTATTTTTTTTATTTTTATTTTTATTTTGTCAATATACAATGTAGTTAGTTATTGTGTCCCATCACCAAAACCTCCCTCCCTCGTAGACTATTCTGCTTAGCCTGGGGAATTAAGTCTTCCTAGGACCTACCCCTCCCATCATCCAATTGAATGTCTCGCTCCCCACCCCACCTGTTCTGTCTTCAGGCAAATCTCACGTGTGTACTCCTTGCACACACCTTTGTGCTCCTATGGCCTGTCTGGTATTTCTACAAACCTTTCATAGTATGGGAATCGATCTTTCACTGCTCATCCTGTGCCCAAGCCCTCACAGAGAGTGGAGTCACCGTACATACCTTACTCAGGTAAGGAAGGGCCATTTTCAAGTTCTCCTAAACACTTTGAAATGTGGTATTCCAATTTATATGCTCATTTTATTTTATGTGATAGATGAGCACTTTTTTGAACTTTAAAATCCAAATTACAATAAAAAAGTGAATGAAGAAATTAAAAGGGAGATTACAATGTAGAATCCTGCGTGAGTCCTTTTATAAAACAACCATTCTCTACCATGTGAGCTTCCTTAAAGATTTATTAGACTATCACTCCTTTCTTTTTACAAAAAGTAGCTTGCAGTCAGCTTAGAGTTAAGCCTGATACCACACCACACCTCATGCTAAACAAGCCAGATTCCTCATCCTGCAGATGACAGTAATTAATATGTTGTTTGTCCTTTGAAATCTTATTTTAGCTGTTTCCTCTTCAAACTCCTCCTATTTTGGATAACTCTTTTGCTTACTTTATTAAGATAATTTAAAAAATAGTTTCTTTTTAAAGAGGTCTTAGTAGTGTTTCCTCTGGCCCAGCACAATCTATAGCTTTAATCTCTTAGAAAATTTCCTGCAGATTTTTCCTACTTCCAGAGACAGGCCAACCAGGAACTCCTGAGTGAAGTATGTTCTCTCTATTTTAGTGGCCAAAATTGGAGGTAAAGTAGTCAAAAATCAAAGATTGTTGGAAAGGAGACAGGAATGCTGACTTCTTTTTTTAACAACAAATATTCCTTCTTATCACTTCAGTGTTTTCGATGTTTGCTCTTAACAGCCCCAAACTTTTTCACATGTTTGATCAAATTTCTTTCACTGAGAAATTCCAGCAATCTCTGGACAGATCTCTTGACTCGTCTTATGCAAGTGTAACCTAAGCTTCCAAAGTAGGCTGACCTAGCCAATTTCTGATTCTATGAAGGGAGACACGCAGTGCTGAGTTCTGTGAATTCATGCCACACAGTGGGATTGGCGTTGTGTAGGCGGTAATGACAATATGGGTCCCCCTTGTGTCAACCCTGAACTCTCCGGTCGTTGCTCACTCTTGCCCAGACCTCAGAGTATATTTAAGGGGTGTGTAATGAGGTACATTAAAAGTTATTTTGAAAAGGGAACTTCAAATTTATTTATTTATTTTTTAAAGCAGCAACAGAAATCAAATGTCTGATTATCATTCCCTCTTCCCCAAAAAAGAAAAGATAAACTGACTGAAAGTACCAAAGAAAATGAAAATAGGAGAAAACCAGCATCATTTAAATGAAGCGAATGTCAGTGCCACCAGATTACCATAAAGGTTGAGGAATTTGTGCTAGATTTAATGTAGATGGGAGCCAGAATATTTACGAACCAATTGATATGATGTCTGCAATCGACTTTAAAATGATCTGGTTGCTGTGGTGGAGGAGTAGAAGTGGGGGGATTTTTTAAAGGAAATTGGCCATCAGTTATTAATTTTTGAAGCTGGATGTAAGGTACATGAGATTCATTTTACAATTTTCTGTACTTTCATGTGTATTTGGCATTTTTCACAATATATAGTTAGCAAATAGTGTAGGCAGGACAAATTGTAGGGAGTCAACAAAAAGAAACTCACATAACACAAAGCATGCCCTTTACTACAAATGCAAAACAGAAACGAAACACAAAATTATGAACAAAACAACAAATCAACCCTTAGCATAAAAAATAAATACAACCCTAGATAATCCTGGATCAAAAGGGAAATTGAAACTATAAAATGTGATGACTAAATATTGACAAAGTTATGATATGACAACAGTACATGTCAAAACTTAGGAAATTGAACCAAGACTGTCCTTCGATGGAAAATAATAGCTTCAAAATGCTTTTTTTTTTTTTTTTTGACTTGAGAAGAGAGATGGAAAATAAATGAAGGAAGCATTCAGTTAAATAAATTTGAAGAACAACAAAGCACAATTTTAAAAATAAATACATAGAAGGCAGCTTTAAAACTAAAATGCAAACTGGTGAATTAGAAAAGATCATTTAATCAAGAAGGCAGAAAGAAAGGCAGAAAATACAAAATTATGGTTAAGAATGGGGATATAACTGCAGCTACCCACTGGATGATTTTCAGAAAAATATTAATTATCAAAATCAACACAAGACAAGGCAGAGTATTACAGTGGACCAATACTCATTACAAGAAAGTGAAAAGATATTTAAAGATCATACTTCCCTGCCTACGCTCACCCCAAACAGTGCCAGCGTTAGATGGCTTTGTAGACAACTCCCACCCAACTGAAGGAATAGAAAATTATTTTGTTGCTTAAACTTCTCTAGGACATAGACAATATAAAACATTTCTCAACTCATTTTATTATGGAATAATTCATACTCTAATAATTAATTAAGCTATTGAGCAAAAGAAAAACTACAGAAACATCTCATTTATGAATATGGATAAAAACTCCAAAACAAAATAATTACAAATCAAGTCTAGGACTATATTAAAAGAAAAATATACCATCATCAAATGAAGTTTATTCCAAGAAAAAAAGTGAATTCAATATAAGGATATTTATAAGTTTGATTCTTCTTATCAGTGAGTGAAAAGACAAAATACATTTAGTCACTGCAATAAAATCTAAGAATATATGTAATCAAATATTGATTTGACCAACATCTTTCTTATAAAACTTGGAATTAGAAAGACAGTGCCTTAATATAAGAATATAGGTGTGTATATATGTGTGTGTATATATATATATATTTTAAAATAAGTAGTGCATTTATTGGCTGTACACTTAAGTTTGAAGAGAAAATAGATTTTTTTTCTCTTCTGCCCACACATTTTGACCGGCCCTGATGCCCGTCAGTTTTCAGTAGGAAAGTGTGCTCGAACCAAGCAGCTATCTCTGCTCTATCAAGATTACAGTGGGATTTTTTTTTAACATGACAAAGTGATTTTACCACTTATCAGAAAAAAAAATAAACAGACAAGAATTATCAAGAACGTACTGAACAAGAGAGTCAGGATTTACTTTGGCATAGATGAAAATATGCTAGAAACATAATCACTTATCATTGGACCAGTGTAGAAAGGAACCAAGATGTTTAGCACATGATAATGATGACATTCCAAATCATTAGGTAAAAGATGTATTATTTAATGTCTTGTTCGTTACAGGAAAACTCTGCAGGAATCATGACGATAAGTATTTTGTGTAATACACTATGGTATGTCAAATATAATTGCTTTGTTTATAAGAAAACTGGAGGAAGAGCTCAGGATAGTTTAACAGCATCTTACAGCAAAACAGTATAGTTGGGTTTATGCCAATGTTCTAATTCACCTAAAGAACCTGATATTTTGACTGCTGCATGCTTTGTTGCTTTTTGGAGTGAAGACATTTGTCAGCGGTCACTGTAATAAAGCTGGTACAACCTGGCTGGATCAGGGGGACGTTTTCCTTTCTGTGCTCATGGCATATTTTCCCAGGCTTGGCGAGGGGTCCAGGCAGGCCAGCGTGAGGACTCGTGGGCAGCAAAATCTCTGGGAGCCCCTGGCGTTATTTTTTAGAAAAGGCACATATCCAGAGGCCAAAGGCTTCTGTGTTTTGACATACGTTTGGGGCAGTCCGAAAGCTGAATTCCCTGAAAAATAAGGGCTAGGTGACACACAGCAGGATCTTAGAGACACGGGTGTCCTGTTCTTCCTACCCCGTGTGAAGGTGCCATCACATCTCAGGTGGTGTCTGGCCTCCAGCCCGCAGGTGGGATGTTATGCACCTTTCAGCTCCAAAATTCTGCTTGTAGTTTTACGTGTTTCTACCACCGTTCACAGTGATAATACAAAGGGGGCCGGGATGAGCAGTGCTGACCTTGAGACGGGGGTCCCAGAGGCGTCGGTCACCTTCTGACCCGAGTTTGGTTTGTTTGCTCTTCTCTCATTCACCTAAAGAACCTGACCCGGGTTAATTTCTTGCAGCACCGTGGACTGATAGTAACAACCAATAAAAACTCGACATGGCACTTTCTCTGTGCCAGACGCTTTTCTCAGCTGTCGAAGTGTAGTGAGTCCTTTAACCATCACAAAAACCTGTGACACGGGCAGTGTCGTTGCTCCCCATTGCACAGGCGGCCAGGCGCCTTCTCCGCGGTCACACGTGCACGGCCCCGCCTGTCCCTGCAGATCCCTCCGGCTCTAACACGCCTTCTCGCTCTATCTCAGGGACCTGATGCCGAGGACCCTGGACGGGCATCGTATAACTTCGTATAATGTATGCTATACGAAGTTATTACGTTTCTGCTTGGCGACCCAGTGACCAGGGCCATCTCGGACTACACGCAGACGCTGTCCAAGCGGCCCGACATCCCCAGCTTCGAGAGCCTGACGTTCCGCAACCGGAGCGCGGGCGTCATCGACACGTCGTGGAGCGCGCTGCAGATCGGCCTGTACGCGCGACACCTGGAGCACTGGCTGCGCCACTTCCCCCTGCGCCAGATGCTCTTCGTGAGCGGCGAGCGGCTCATCCGCGACCCGGCCGGCGAGCTGGGCCGCGTGCAGGACTTCCTGGGCCTCAAGCGCATCATCACGGACAAGCACTTCTACTTCAACAAGACCAAGGGCTTCCCCTGCCTCAAGAAGGCCGAGGGCAGCGGCAAACCGCACTGCCTGGGCAAGACCAAGGGCCGGACGCACCCCGACATCGACGGCGAGGTGCTGCGGCGGCTGCGGGACTTCTACCGGCCCTTCAACCGCAAGTTCTACCAGATGACCGGCCACGACTTCGGCTGGGATGGATGACAACCACATAATTTAAAAAGAAAAAAAAAATATCAGAATATAATATATTTTTTTACAAATCGGTAAAGACAAGGCAGTTTAATATTTGTGCTGAAAATATCTGTTGCAGTATTTTCTTCAATGAATGCTGATTAGTCTCACCTCTGCCCCATTATATGTCACGTGTAACCAACACCAAACATTTGCATACACAGAAAACTTCATTCATCGAAATGCTTTTAATTTTCAGTTTTCATTTTATGTTCTATATACCCAGTCATAAACTAGAAGCATCAGTTGCCATTAAAGATTTCAAGAAAACCCTGAGGGTGAACATCTCTTTCTCTCTCTTTTTTTTAATATAAGGTCCTGATAAAATTGATGTCTATCCTGATGTTTTTCTCCCTTCTTACGGTGGCACTTTTTCTTCGATCATTTCCCAGTTAGTAATACTGTATGTTTGTACAACACTTCAGTTTCCATAGTGCTTTCAAAATCCAGGTCTTTTTGATCCTATATTACTATGTGGTATAAGAGCATAGTACATAGAGTTATTATCCCCATTTTACAGACAGGAAAACTGAGTCTCAGGGAGGTTAAATGACATCTTAAGGCCAGATCAAATCCTGGACCCTGGACAAAACCCCGTCTTCCACTTGTTCCCTATTTTATGCCACTTTTTCCAGAGATAATGGGAAATAAGCCATCTGCATCTTTTAGAGATTGTTAGCTGGCTTTCAGAGGATCTGAAAAGGGACAGAGAGGGTTTTTTATTACTTTCTAAGTTCTGGGCTGGCCTTATGGCACCCAGTTTCATCACATAGTTGTGGTCAAGGAAACCACTCAGACCTGGACACAACTGCTTTTAAGAGCCAAAGTTGGCTCTGGGCTTATTAAAGTACCCTAAGATATACAAATATTGACTGATTAAAACTTGGTTGACTTTGAGAGAAATTATTGAATTCTTGTATTGAGGACAGGACAGCCACTGCCACCCTAGGAATAGGACAAGATGCAGCAGGAGCAAAACTTACCAATTTGTTGATTTGACTGTCTTCTTTTTTTTGTTCTTGGAAAAATCCACTTCAGCTAAAACTTACGAGTTTGAATTTCATTTTTCTTTTCCTCTTTTTAAGAAAAAGCATCCACCTTTTTTTTTTTTTTTTTTGGTAATGTCTCACTTCCAAACTTGAAGCTAGTACTAAAAATATATCAATTAACAACTCATATACAATGTTCTTATTTTTCATGGGTGGAGGACCATCACTTTGTCACTTTATTTTTTCCCATTTCCTATTTATACCAATTATAACCTAATGTTTATTAATATTGGGAAACTAAGAAATGCAGATGTGAATAAAATGGTGGCTTTTCCTCTTTTCCCTTCTGTTCCTGCACATCCCCCATTTAAATTGCTCAAATAAATCAATAGTTTATTAAGAGTATTTCTTTCCTCTCTGAGTGGGTATTAACAAGATTAGCATTAATGGGAATTAAATTGGTTTAGAGAGGAGCACATATGCATGAAATATATAAAACATTTATAATTAGTCTGTCAGTGACATTTTATTACAGGTTTAAACCCAAGAAGAAAATGTCTCCTATTTCATGGAACTTTTCTTTATCTGCCAAAATTTTTAAAAAACTAGACATTCTAAAACAATATTTTGTTTCTTCTCCAACATTGTCAATCGAAAGAAACTAAAGTGGTTTTAAAATATGTAGTACAATTGTGCATCTATCACAGATGCTACATCAAGTGATGTGCTTCTCAGGAAGCCTAACACAGGATTAACATGACGAATAACAAAATTTTTCTTTTTAGGTTTCTAGATATTTTGTCATTGCTCCAAATCTTTGGATTCATTTGCTAATATCCCATTTAAGAGAGTTAAGTAAGTCTCCAATCCAGGTCTCCTTCCGGTTCATTCCCTTCACTTCTGTGCCCCCATTTTCCCAATGCTATAGCCTGTTTTTGCTCTACTTGAATCGTCATTAGTAGCAGCAAGATACTCATTTTAAACTCTTTTTATCTTTTCTGTTAATTCATTTTGTTCGTATTTCCTATTCTTTTGTAAGTGTTTGCTTGGCATTATGCAAAAGTGGCTTGCACAAAGAAACAATTGTGTTTAACAATCGCATTCAGCAACCTTTGTCATCTTGTGTGGAAGAAATAATAAAAGAACAGAACTGAGTGCAAAGGGCCTCTTCCTGCACATAGATACTTTTGTTCAGATTATCTTAAAAGTGAACGCTACAGAACTCTCTAGGAAAACTTTCAAACTTTTAAGACATCCTTAGAGTGTGAGAAGTCATAGATCCCAGCAAAATGTATAAATATCTGGAGTCAGTATTCTCTAAGTTTGCCCCAGGACAAGACTATTCCATTTCTGCCTCTATGTGATACTTATTCCTGCTTTCCATGGACTTGGTCTCACATTTATTTTTGATTATTTAGCTATACCAGATAATAAACTTTGTCTTGATGGGACCACTTTAGCAGTCCTTCCTCTCAGCTGTCCACTCCAAAGCCAAGCCTACCAACACCCTTCATTTTTCTTAGAGGTGAAAGGCTGTCTTTTCAGGAGAATATCCAGAAAAGATCTCCAACTTCATTCTGAGCATTTTCTTCTGAGGCCACATCTACAGTGTATACATTTTCCAGATAATTTAGTTGCTTTTAAGAATTAATTTTATTCTAATAACTGGAGATTAATAAGCTTCTGGAGGATGGATATTTATTATTCTAGAAGTATTAATCTCACTCTAATTTCTTATTTTCAAAGAATCTTCAAAGGTAGAATAAACCTCAATAACAATTTGGATCAAATCCCCATTGGAATCCTTTCTCTGGCTGGTTGTGCAGGGGTTTAAATACATTGATGTGTCTGTAAATTCTTAACTATTAATTTTTCCATTGAAAAGGTGATGAATTTCTCCTAAATGCTGTCATCATATTCTTCCAGCTGAGGCCTGCCAAATCTCCTGCTGCCCATGAAGATATCTTAAGCTCACTGTGTGAATAGATAAATGTGTCTGTAAAATAATAACACCTCACACTCATGTACCATATTCCCTTTCAAATGCATCATTTCATCTTAAACTAGTAGCAGCTCTCCACTCATTAGTTTCACTTTACCAATGAGGAAACTAAGGCTTTAGACAGTGGTTCTCAACAAAAAATAATTTTTATCCTAGGGCAATGTCTGGAGACATTTCTGGTTGTCTCAGGGTTTGAGGAGTATAGTAGGACACTACTGGCATCTCATGGCTAGAGGTCAGGGGTGCTATTAAACATTCAATAATGAACAGGACAGCACCCATCACAAAGAGTTATCCCAACCAACGTGTCAGTAGTGCTGAGGTCCTTGGCTTAAGAGGAAACAAATCATCACAGCTAGTTTGTCTCTGAAAAAGGTTTAAAAGTCAGATCCTAATTAATACTTGACTGGTAATTCTTTCAGTCACCATTTCAGTTTTTCTCTTGAAATATTTTTTTCTCTCTCTCTAACAAGTGACTCCATTATGATAAGTAGATCAACGTCTAATGCTGTGCTTTGCCAAGATGCATGCTAAAGGCAACTAAACTGGGTCTTTAAAACTGAGATGCAGCTTGTAACAAATAGACAATTGTATCTCTGTGAAGGGGCATCAGTCAGCTTCAGGTGGAAAAGTAACATTCCAATAAAGCATCTCTGAAGGCTCTTGCAAGTCTAAGTCTTGCAGTTTCAATTTGCCTTCAAAATACTTCAATAGTGCAGTGACAGAATTTCTTGTCACCTGACAAAACCAAGTGCCAAGCAGTAGAAGTAAATGTCTCCGTTTCTGTTAAACAGCTAAATTCAGCTGCAGGTGTTGTGGTTACAAATATCCTTGAGTTGCTGAATAGTAGTGAAGGAAGTAAATTCCTACTGCCACATATCCTAGAAATCCCACAACTTTGTGCATAATATCTGCAGAATCAGGGGAAAGAAGAGCTTATAGTTCCCAAACATAGACAAAGTGTTACTGAGATTCAGTCCAATGCAAACGTGGGTGTAGAAATAAAAGCCCCTACTTATTCTCCTCTTGCATCCTGTAATTGCCAAAGAAGAATAAGACTTTAAAAACCCAAACCGCAAGCTCTGTTGGGGAAGCTTCAGCATTATCGTAGAATTTGTGGTCCTTGAAATATCTTCACCAACATGCAGACAGACTTGCATTCAGAGTCTCAATTTTATGGAAGAAGAACACGGATAGGGAAATTAGAAACCTGTTTGTTATATAATGGAATGTTGGAATGGTAGGCCTTCCCTTTAAAGCTTGAAAAAGATGAATTTGGGAAAATTATGAGGCAGTGCCACGTTATACACAAAGTAATAAAATAATGGATTTTATTTATGCTGGGAGGAAATAAAACTGAAAATAGAAATTGCTTCTAATATATGGATCCATTGTGGGATATTAAGAAATGTTGGCATGTTTCAGGCTATAACCTGAATTTTTTTAGTTTAATTTCAAAATGTTGGTTGTTTTGCATGAATAGCCATATGCTCAGCACTTACTCTCTTCTAGTTTCACTGTCAAAATAAAAGATGACAATAAATGGGGAACACACACTCTATTGTGAGTCTTTTTCATCCCAAATGCCTGGTGTAATACTTTAGGTGCATTAGAAAGATATGATGTCCTTCATTAGCTCTGCCTGGATGGTACATGATTAGGCTAGATTTCTTGCTCGGTGCTAACTTTGGTTAGTCCTGAGAGGGCTTTTGGTTTACTGTCTGGTCTTCCCATTGACAAACTATGGTCCATGTGCTCCAGGTCTCTCCCAAAGTCACCTTATAGTAAGCCTAGAGTGTTTTCCACCCCTGGAGTCTTACCTTTATTGCAAATAGGAGTGATGTATCTTTTTCCCTTCTACCTCCTATCACCATGCTTTCCTCGCTTACTGGTGGCTTCTTCTGTCATGTCCTGCCTGTGTCCAGCCATCCCTGGTAACCCAGTCTCTGCTGGTCTAAGTTCTTCCCTCCCTTCGAATGTGCCATACTTAATGGTGTCCACTTCCTACTTCAGATTTCTTGGAAAAACTTTGCAGCCCACCTAGAAAAACTGCTCTCAGCTTCAGCTCTCATCTGAATATCTGATATAGATATCTGGAGAAATGAAGGTCAAATAGGTTTAAGTTCCCCCAAACCTAAGGGCCCAAAAGAAGAAGGATGAAATGGAATATGAAAGTATGGGGGCAAGTTTTCGATAGGAGAGATGGGGGTGCTGTTGGAAGGGCACTTACCCGGCTTCCAGCGCCCCACTCCTCGCCACGGATCTGAAGGACCAGGAACGGCA